GCATCTACAACGAAACCATTCTCCAAGAACGATCGATCTACACCTTGATTGACCTTTTCATAGTATCAAAAATGAGTGAGTGATTGCAAAAGTAAACAGCGAAAACATAGAAATAATAACTATGTAGAGATGAGAACGGCACTACCGGCTTATATATTAATTAATAAAAACTGATTAATCAATGAGCCGATTTCATCTCTAATTCTAAGATCACTTACATCAAATATAAAATTACCAAGTAACAATTGCATTTTACCGGACTTGCGGATTACAAGTCTCCCTATTTGCCCTTCTGGCACATTTTCATTTTTATCATTGTCCATATTAGAATCAGTATCCTTGCCTCTTGAATTTCCTATGATTGCAGTCAATTTATTCTTATCGATCTTGTTCTGGTTTTTTTCTGTGATACTATCCTTCGTAGTTGCTGGCGACGACTTCTTAGGTGCTTCGAATTTTGGTAGTATTGTAGGTAATTGAAAGCATAATAATTGGTCGTCCTGAATGTGAATGGAGGTCAAATAAATATCGCTGAACATTGCGAAAAAATTGATACATAAACAACATAATAACATGTACGTACGATACTTTCAAAATCAATATATTGATCCGACTTTTCTTTCGAGCTTTGATTATCGTAGCAGTTTTTATTCATGAAATTTTCGTTATCCACTAATGGGTGGTAAAAAGAAAAGAAAGTTCTTCGACGTCGGTTTCTATCTTTTTCTAAATCGACAAAAATGACGAGCCCATTGACTCCAAAATGCTACCGATACATGCAAAAATTCCATTGGAAATTTTCCGTATTGACAGATTTATCATAGCATAACGCACCTTCTAAATATCCAGCTACATTGTCTTCCTTTTCAATATCCACAGTAAGCATATCTGGGGCCCACGGATCATCCCGAAACGTTTCAAAATCTGCCGCGAACTCTACTCTATTTTTCCTTTCTTCAATAATAGACGAGTTAAAAATATTGACCCCATTTGTTCCTACTAAAGTTTTTCAAGGAGGGATGCAGTGCTACGACTGTTATATAAAAGACATAAATAAGCAAATGTATCTTACATGATGCAAGAGTAGAATTTGAACCATAAGCGAATGGTCCCGATGCTACTAAATCTGGAACATAACGGCTTCGACCACGTATCCCTATAAAAAAGTACTGATATATAGTTATTCCAAAATATTGCTCAAATAAAAGGATTAAAAGCTAAAATACCTCCGCGTTGCATTGGATTATATCCATGACTCATTTGATAAAAGTCATTCTACAATAAATTCTTATGCTGAGCTTAAACAAGGTCAATCATTATAATAATCATAAAGAATGTTAAGTGAGATTACCCCAGAAAAATCATCATTATCGAAAAAATCAGGCGAAATAGAATCAGAGGCCAACGTACTTTGGTAGAATAATCAAATCAATATTTTAAACCACTTGTTTATTTTCACGGAAAAATAAGCACTAACGGTTGTGGTCGCCTATGAGCTTCAGGCACCGACGGCACAAACGTCATTCGTTGAGTTCCACGAAGTGTTACTCTTGAAGAAGTTGGTAAAAAATAGTGGCCTGTAGGAACTGTTCTGACTGATGCTAGTCTTCCAGGAGGTGGAAGTTCAGGTTGCAACGACCCAAGTCTCCTAATACCACTCGATACCGAAGCATTCGAAGGGGTTGGCGAGGGCTGCCGACTTGTTTGTGGGGTTACAA